ATTCTAGGATAATTTCAACATTTTTCAGGTGATCTACATTCTGAGTGTATGCGTTTGGCAAGCCAGCCCTCATCCACGACAAATTGGAATCATCATCATCATCGTGCCCGTTCTGAACCTTCTCGGATGTGCAGCTGCGCTGATATCGCTATGGTTTATGGTTCAGAAGTTCTATTGGAAGCGTGTGGTACGTTTGACGGTCCGAAAGGCCTCCTTATCTTTTTGACCAAGACCACTCTCTAGAGCGATTTTTAACCATTCAACCCACTACTGGCGCTACTGCAGTTGGAGCGGAGTGGGGAGGAAGGGGGAGCTGCAATGCAGTTCATGCGAATTCTGATAGTTTGCACCCTTCCTAGGCAAGGGCCCTTGTTGTCTGCTCTCTTTTAGGGCAAGGCCTTTCAATCACTAACTTTGCAAAAAAGCAGAGGTGCTCTCCCCCCCCCCCAAACCGGGGACGGACAAGACGATCGTAATCTGTCGCGTCGCCGTGCGCGGCTTACCTTCGCAGCCGTACAATACTCCATGCCGGGTGCGATATCAAAGTTTTCCCATCCCGCTCATACTCGAACGCCAATCAGGACAACTCATCCGTCGAGCGCGGCGTCGCTCGCCACCCACCAGCGCAGCGCAGTACGATTGTTTTGTATTAGACCACCCCTACCCCTTGGGCTACATTGGCGCAAGAGATCTTTTTCTTCTCCCTTTCTTTTAATTATTTACTACATCACATTCTTTAGGAATTGTCGTTCAACCTCGCCGGTTTTGCTCTTTCCTTACTAGGAATGAGCGTATTATTGCTCACGTACAATAAAGATTCGTCAATTCGAGATTATATAGCGGTCAGTTTAGAATGAGCGGCAGCTTATGAAATTTCACACATGATTCATACGAGTTTCAGCTTAACCATCTGCTCGTCACAATCGCATGGTCGTTCTGCCTCGTTTGGAGTCGCTTCTTCACTACAAATACCGTCTCCAATCTGTTCATCAGCGAATGGGGCCGCGGAACTGAAGACATCGAAATAGAAGCTCTTGAAGGGCACTTCTAGATCGAAAAACCCCTCTATTCACTCGCACAATAAATCCAGGCACTGTCCACGTTGATCAAGTGGGTGGAGTCGGGAACCCTCGTCAGTTTTCCTCCTC